GGGGGGCCGTGGTCTGCAGTGGCTGAGTTTCCCTCCCAACTTACCAGTCTCTGTTGGCCATCCCTGGACAACACACGGACCTGTTGTGACCGTGGCCAGGCTCCTCTGGGTGGCCTGGTCAGTCTCCAACTCCAGGGATTCTGGACAGCTATGAAATCCCCCAGGAGGTGGTGTGGGTCTAGGTGCTTATCTGTAGGGCCCCCTGCCTTCAAAGTCCTGCTTCACTGGCAAGCCAGGATGTTCCCCAGGGCCTGGCCCGGCCCCACAATATCCCCAGCACCAATCCAGGTGGGCACCTGTTCTTCCGAACCTTTGGGGCCTTTCCTACCAGCGTCGCTATGTTGTGCCCCATCTCACTCCCGCAGGCCCTGGGCGGCCTCCCTGGGCTGCTTCTCGGGGCCTACTTCCTGTCCAGCTCTGTGCCTTTGTCCTCCTTTTGCTGGGTCCTGCCTCCAAGCACCCTGCTCTTGTCTTGGTCCCGGGCCTCCTTGTGTGCCTGGCTTGGCTTTAGGGCATGCTTTGTCACGGCTCGGCTCTCCGCGTGCCTTCCGCCGTGGTGGTTGTGTCCTGCCCATGAAAGGTAGCCCTGGGGGGCCCCGCTGCCTGTGGGGGACAGGGGGGCCGTGCAGGCCAGGGTCCTCATGTCACCCGAGAAGCAACTGGCCCAGCACCCGCTGGACTCGTAGCATGGGCCTACATCAGAGAGACCCTGCTCTGCCCACCCCCAGCCCAAGAAGACTGTCGCAGGGCCATCGGGGAAGCCGGGTCAGGGGGCCGCTCGAGGAGGCTATCGGTTGGCAGGGGGTGGGGTACAGTGGCTCTGCCTGCAGCAGGAACGGCAACAAGGAGAGGCCACTGGGCATGTGGATCCCACCCTTTGTGTTTCTCAGGCCCCAGGCCCCCTTGCCGGTGGGAGGTCAGGGGTATGGGCTGGCAGGGACCCCTCCCGAGGTTGGGGCAGCTCGGCAGCAGTCCAGCACGGGTGGCTTAGACTCGACCCAGCCCCTCGCGTGTCTCTCGTCTCGGGGTGGGGGTCCCAGCATAGCGTGCAGGGGGACCTCAGGCCCCGCCACGGAAGGTGAGAAGCCACAGGCTAGTTTCCTTTGGAGTGGGGGGCCCCTGCGCTCCTCCCGCCCTCCTTGGGGTCCTCCCTGCCTGGCTGTGGTGGGTCCTGCACACATGCACCCTGATTCTGTCTGGTCTTCCTGGAACCCTCCAATCTGAGGCCTTGCCACTTCTGGGGGGAGGCGTCCTTCACACCCCACAAACTCAGCGTGGCTGAGCCCGCCGTGCAGGGGCGTTCTGTGCATTCAGTTGTGCGGCCAGCACCTCAAATTCCACACTCTCCTCACCCGAAACGAAGCCCTGGGCCCTCTGAGCAGCCCCCGCCTCCCCCCGGGTGACCGGTGACCGCTGAGCCACATGCTGTGAGTTTGCCTCTCCTGTGACGCTCAGCAGTCCCCGTGAGCGCCTGCTCTGCCCCGAACGCACGTGCCCTCACTCCGTCCACGTGGACCCTGGTGGGGCAGAGAGGACACAGCAGAAGGCCCGGCCGGGACACCCAGCCTTGGTGCCGTCCCACACTCCGCTGCGCAGCCCACAGGTGCCGCCAGGGCCACTGCTCCAATCTCAGGGGCCATCTGTCAGCATCTCTGTCCTTCCCCGACCCCCGAGGGAGGCACGAGGCCCCCAGCCCACGTGGGCCCAGGGCTGAGGGTCCCAGGCCCCGTCCTACGCTCCCCTGTCCAGGGTGCACACGTGGCCCTCCCACAGCCAGGCATGCTGCGGGCACTGCCTACACCGGGGGTGGCCCCCCGAGTCCCACTGCCCCTCCATGTGCTCGGGCGGTCTTGGGGACTCCTACATCCATGCCCGGCCTCCCACAGGTACATCCAGATGCTGAAGGACCACAGGCCCCGGATCGTGTGGGACAGCCAGGCAGCAGAGCATTTCTTCGAGTACAAGAAGTGAGTGTCCAGGAGGAGGCCCTAGGTGAGGGGTGTGCCTGCCCGGGCTGGCCAAGGGCCCCCGGGCCACCAGCTCGCGCACTGCCCCTGAGGGCTGGGCCAGCCCGAGGAGTGGGACCCATGGAGGGCCCTTTCCAAACGGTCGGAGACCTCTGCTGGAAGGGGAGGTGGGGCCGGCATGCCCTTCCATTTGGGGGCAGGGGAGGGGTGCGGGAGAAGCAGAGGCTGGGAGGAGGCAGAAGACCTCGTCGTGTTTTGCAGAAGCCGCGGTGGGAGGCACATGGTCTTCTACCCAACTCTGAAGGTATGTGTGGGCCGGCCTTGATGCTGAGGGTGGGGGCAGCAGGTACAACCCCTCCCCACAAGGACCCTTGTCCTCAGTGAGGCCCTGCTGAGCAGTGTCGGCAGGGGGCTGCCCCGGGGGTGAGAGGTGGGGCTAACGCCTGCCCGTGGGCCCGCAGTCTGTGCAGGTGCGGCTGGAGCTGGCCCGGGAGCTGGGCGTCGGAGTGTCCATGTGGGAGCTGGGCCAGGGCCTGGACTACTTCTACGACCTGCTCTAGGCCTGGCTGCAAGCGGATGTGTGCTTTTCCTGAACGATGGAGTGACCAGTTCACATGTGAAATACAGACTCTTCTCTCTTTCCAGTCCAGTTTCTGCTGCGGTCCTCGAGGTGGCTGAGGGGTCCTGGGAGCCAGGCCTCCTCACCAGTGATGTGGGGTGGGGCCGTCCTGGCCAGGTTGCCCAGACGACGCAGGCCCCTCCCACCCAGCCCTCACTGCTGCCAGGCCAGGTGGGGGCAGGACCGGGCTCTCTCCCCTCCCCTGTGGACCCCGGGGCTGTGCCAAGGGGCCTCGGCCTCTCCCTGCCCATGCTGGCCCGGCCAGCCCAGCGAGGGGGTGGGGGCCGCTGTACGAAGCCCGACTCAGAGAAGCTGTTCCCGTCCCGCAAAGGAACCCTGCGAGCCCATGGGTGCCAGTGGGCTGGGCGGTCGGGTTCTGCCCACAGGCGTAGCCAGGCTCCCGGGATGAAACATCAGGAGAGACTCTGGGACTGCCAGTAGCCAAAGACAGCTAGACCCCGCCCCCCAGGCCCTTGGCCAGAAGGGCTGCCGGCCCCTGCCCCAGCCATTGAGCTCCATGGTCCTGCAGGCTGCGAGCAGCGAAGCCTCCTCGGTAAGCACGCCAGTCCGGGGCCTGGTGCTGTCCGCGGAGCCGGCCCCGACTCACTGCTCAGCTGCTGTGCGTGAGCTTGGGGCCCTGCCCAAAGCACTTGGGGCTTCCACGCTGCAAGTCCTGGGGTGGAGGCCGTGCTCCCTGCTCTCCTGCTGTGGGACGTGAAGCAGGAAGGGCTCTGAGGGGCAGGGCCCGCCAGTGCCCTGTTGGAGCGGCCCCACGGAAGAACTCCGCTGTTCTGAGGGGGACAGGCCCTGCCAGCTACCCCCTCTCCCAAAGCCACAGACTTGCTCATGGGGCTGGGGGGCAGGACGGCCTGCTGGCGTGGGTGAGGAGTCTGGGCCTGAATAGAAGGAGGGAGAGGGGGTGTGGGGGTGGAGCGGAGCCGTCACAAGAAGTCCACGTGTGCAGCCGCCGTGGACGCGTGTGCACGCTCAGCACGCGTGTGCACACGTGTTCGTGTGTATGCCTGTCTGCTTGTGGGTTGGCACGTGGGGCCACAGCATGGGGTTCGCCCAGCCCCACACCGGCCACCCTGGCAGTGGGCAGGAGCAGAGGGTGGGGCTGGAGGCACAGGCCGGCACGCCCCTTGTCCCAGCTTCAGAGGCCTGGGCAGGAAGGGAGCCAGGAGCCCTAGCACCAGGGCTGGGGTGCTGGGCTCTAGTGTGTCTGGAAGTCACAGTATGGGTCAGTGTTAGATGGGGAGCCGGGCAGGTGACAGATGCTGGGTGTGCATGGGAAGGTGGGACCAGCAAAGGGGGTGGGGGCTGGTGGGGGCTGGGAGAGTGGTCCTGAGGTCAGACCCCCAGGGGCACCCACACTGAGAACAGTGAGCCTGGGAAGCAAGCAGAGGCAACAGGTGGGGGTCTGTACTGGAGGGCAGGGACCCTGGTGGACCGGGGCACGAAGGCCGCTCGAGGGCCATGGGGGAGGTTGAGTCAGGGCTGGAGTCTGAGGGGTCACATAGGAGGCTGTGGGCAGAAAGGATCCCAGGTCTGCAAGCTGTTCCCATGGGTCCAGCGAGAGCTTGCATGGGGGGTACACAGGAGCAACCAAGCCTGGGGCAGGTCTGACTTTGGTCACACATGCTTGGAGAGAAACACGAATGGGGGGCCCGGGTCCTCGCAGGCGGGCTCTGTGGACACTGGTAGGGGGTTACATGGGGACTGCTTTGCTGGGTGTGCGACCGTTCCTGCCGGTTTTCCAGTTTGCTGCTCGTAGGTGAGGAAGTTTTGTCTGGGGGCGTTAACCACGTGCCCTGAGATCACTAAGGGCAGTGATCTGGTAGTTTCCATGGAGTGAGGACGGGAGGTGTCGGTGGGCTTGGGTGCACACTGGCGGTCTGGGTTGTGTCTAGGCCGTGGTCAGTGCTTGGCTGGGCATCCCCAGGTGGGCCGGAGAGAGGGCAACACCTTGGAGCTGGCAGGAAGGAGGGCTGGAAACTGAGGCTGGGGGCTCGTGAGGCTCCTGGGAGGGGCCCATCCTCCAGCCCGAAGCCCCAGACCCACGGCTTCCTCACCCCGTCAGCCCTATCTCAGGAGACCCCGGTGCTTGCGCCCCAGAGGTAGCCGCTCCACTCCTGACAGCCCATTTTATCTGCAGAATCCGTACAGATGAACAATTCGGGGGCCAAGTTCACGGGGGGCAGGCAACGCCCTGGGGCTGCATGGAGGGCGTCGGAGGGCAGGGCCATCCTGAGACGCCTCTGCACTTCCTGTGTCTGATCTCACGGAGGCTGGGGGCTGGCCCCACGCGTGTGCGGGAGCCCCGCTGCAGGCACGGGGCACATGGTGGGGGCCCACAGCCACACAGGGTCTGTCTGGGCAGCCCCCCAGAGGCTCAGGGCAGCAACAGACACAGGTGGGGGCTGTCGCCCACGCGCTTTATTAAGATGCACCCAGAGCCCGCACTGGCTCCGCTGTGGAATGTGGATGGTGGGGCAACAGCCTCGCCTTGAGCACCAGGACCAGCGGTCGGCCCTTCACCCCCACCCCCACCCGCGAATGACCCCAGCCAGGGGAGCGCTGCTCTGGAGAGTACATGGGTATGAAAAGCTCCTCCCGCCCCCAGCCCTGCCTGCGTGGCCAGCACTTGGCGACCTCCTCCAGCACGGTGTTCGCAGGGCTGGCTGAGGGTCCTGGGGGGGCGTCCAGGGTTGGTGCTGAATCCTGAGCAGGAGAGGCAGGTGGGGACGTGGTCACCTCCCCCATGGGCTGTGAGGCAGAGGTGGCAGGCAGTGGGCAGCCTACGCACAGTAGGTATCCGCCTTCACCACCTGACAGTACATGGTCATGGCGAAGGTCAGACCCAGGATCTGCGGGGACACAAGGGGGCTGGGCAGGACTGCTCCAGGAGACCACGAGCACAGAGGGGTCCTGCCCATGGACCCCACCCCACAGCTTCCTCCCTGGATGGCCTGTACCCCACTCCTTGGGAGGCCTCCCCCAACTGGCAGTTCAGGTCCAGCCCAGCCACGTCCCCCTGAGCCTTGGCACGGGCACCCTGGGGACTCCTAGGGCTCGGCCCCCAGACCCGCCTCTCAGTGTGGCCACTGTGGTTCTGCTGGTGGCTTCAGGGCCCATCGGCTCTGTGCCCCTCCCTACCTGCCTGTCATCCAACTGTGATCACCTCTGACAGTGTCTGTGTGCACTGGCTGCGACCCCCATCTACCTCTGTACCCCAGGAGCGGGGGCTGCCCTGACGTCCGAGTTTACTGACACACTGGCCTCGAGCTCCCCCACGGTGCTGACACGCAGGACTTCACGGGGGCTGGGAAGCCAGGATCAGGGGCACCAGGGCCTGGGCTGCCCACCCTCACTCTGCACTGAGCCCTCCCGTGACCACCACCCACCACAGCTGCCAGGCTTGGGCCGCAGGAACAAGGCTGGCCTGCCTGTCCCTGACCTGTCAAAGGTCGCCTCCCCGTGGAGTGGCCCCGGACCATCCCTCAAACCCCACCTCGCAGCCACGTGGGCTCGAGGCGCTTCCACCCGGGTGCTGGTGAGCTAGGCTGCTAGGTGGGGGCTGGGGCTGGTCCAGGTGGCTCCTGAGGCAGGCCCCGCCCAGCGTACCTGTATCAGTGCCGTGCACAGCCCAAAGATGCCCACAGCCAGAAGGTTCTCCTGGAGCCACATCTTCACGGTCTCGTAACATGGCTGGAGGAAGGGTGCACGTCACAGGGGCCACGAGGCCACCCCCTCCACCCCCGGGTCCCGGATGCGTTGGGAGGGTAGGTGCTCACCGCCTTCCACCAGGTGCCAGGTGCGTGAAGGCCACAGCCCTCACTGAACTCCAGGCAGCAGGAGTCCGGCACGCGCGTGGCGTTATAGACTTCGAACCAGTCGGTGTAGTTGGAGACCCCACAGCAGCGAAACTACAGACAGGCGCAGGGGCTGGGATGGCTGGGGAGCAGGCGGGTGGGCCCTGCCCCCCTACTTGGCACACCCGCATCCCCTCTGCCTCCACACGCACACAGACTCACGTCGGTCTGGATGATGCTCCAGGCGTTGGTGAGGCCCACGTTGCCCGGGGTGCCATACAGGTGCAGGCCCTTCTTTAGGTCCCGCTGGGCATACCTGTCGATCTGCAAGTGTAGAGGGGTCAGCAGGACCACCCCCACGGCCAGCTCCCCCTCCCTCATCCAGAACCCCGGCACCCTCCTTGGAGTCCCCTCCTCCCAGAAGCCCCCATCCCTGTGCCCAGGCCCAGGACTTGGCCCCTGCCTGTCCCCGCCCCTGGGCCCTCTGTGGTGCTGAACACTGCTGGCACCAGAGTCCGACACCTCAGCTTCAGGTACAGAGACAGACGGACACGTACAGAAACACCGAGCGCGGTCTGTACATGCGGGTTGTGAGTACACGGCTCCGTCCGTCCGCTCCGGGGCCCAGAAGCTACGACGCCCCAGTGGCGAGGAGCACGCCGGCCCCCGGAACTTGGTTCCCCAGACCGTCCTCCAGTGAAGGAACCAGGGCTCCTGGAGAAAAGGCTGATTCCAGGGCTGGGGCAGGAGACGCCCAGCTAGGTCTGGGGGGCGTCTAGCGCCAGAATGCACACCGAGGGGAGGATGCCAAAGGGACCCAGCAGCCAAGCAAGAGCTCCCAACGGGCAGAGGTGCAAAAATGTGAGCAAAATAAGGAACACGGGTCTAGGGTACAACTCAGAGTACAAAACACATGTAAATGAGCAGTCAGTAATGTAAGTAAGTAAATGGGGATGGGGGATTTTCCCTGCCCAGCAGACACGCAGTCCAGGACAGTAAGGAGCTCAGCCAGAACACAGCACCGCACCCCTGCACCCCCACTTCTCGGAGGGCCAGAAACCTCCCCAAACCCCCAGGCCCGGCCTCTGGTGGCTGCGGTTAAAGCCGGGTCTTCCAGTGAGTGGATGGCAGGGGCCACTGTCCACCCGCACAGAGCATGGGGCTTGTGACAACCATTCCCAGCCCTGCCCAAGGCCTTGTCACCACAGCACGGTGGCCACCAGCCGGGTGGGGAGATCAGAGCCCCCACACCCGAAGCTGGGGAGGGCGGGGTGGCCGAACCTTGTCAGTGCAGGCGAAGAACAGGGTGGTGACGGTGGCCTCCAGCAGGAACACCAGGAGCAGCATCACAAAGAACTGCAGAGGAGACCTGGCCTTGGTGACTTGGCCGCCCCGACCCCCAGCTGCCCCCCAGCCCTCCACGAACCTCGGACAGATGCCCCAGTGCTGCTGGAACGCACACCAGGTCTCCGGCCCCCAGAGAGTAGCGTACCACCCTCATGCCGCTCCACCCCCCGCGGGCCCCTCCCTTCTCTGGAGGGGCTCTTCTCTGGCTCGACTGACCTCGGAGCACAAGCCTCACACCTGCCGGCACACGTGTGCTTTGTGCCCGTGTCCCCCTCCCTGTGGGCGGGGAGGAGGTCAGTCTGTGATGACCTTGAACCCTGGGGGTCACAGCCACCAGAGCACACCCACTCGGGAAAGACCACGGTGAGGGGACAGCCGCCAGGAGCCTGAGAAGCCCCACCTGACTGCACAAACTTTGCTGGGTGACAGCCTCCCACTCAAGCACCCCCAAAGGCACAGCCCCGACCCTGCCATAGAAGTCCCAGGCCAGTGGAGCAGCAGAGACGGCCTGTGTCCACCCCGCCTTTCCTGCAGACATGAATGGGGCCCAGGCGGAGGGCGCGCGCCCTGTCCTCTCCTGAGGCCCCCGATCTGGCCTTCCCTCAGTGCGGGCCCAGGATGCCCCCAGCAGGCCCCGGGCTCTGACTCCCGAGTCTCCCTGTGGGGACGGCCGGGGCTGGGCCCCACACACACACTGCAGCTTCCTTCCCCGGGGCAGCTGGGGACCTGCTGCTCCGAGGGATCAGAGCCCCAGGCCCTGATGGGAGCATCTGGAATGTGCTAAACACCTGGGGAAGCTGCACGGACTGGGGGACATGCCCTCCGAGGCCCCACCCTGGGCAAGGGCTCCTCAGGCTGGATCAATTTGAAGGGGTGATTTAGGACTTGAAGCTGCCGGAGGCCTTTGCTAGACCTATTAATAGGTGCAGAGCCTGACCCCGGGGATCCTTCCCCTTCTCAATTATCTGTGATTAATGTTCCTAAAGACGGGAACACATCCTGCCTGTAAGTCTGTCTCCGAGGCAGAGGTGGGGACTGTGAGCCTCTCAACAGAGGGTCCTGGGACGGGAGCTGGGGAGGGGGTCCCAGGAAGGGTGGTCGCAGAGCAAACGGGCCCGGTACCGGCTGGAGGGGCCCCACCTGGCACTCGTGTGGGGGGGTGATAAGACATGTGTCCTGTCAAGGGAGGCCTCCACTAAGCTCTGGGCAAGCAGCCCCCCAGCACCCAACCCCCCACAGCCCCAGCCTGGTCTGGAAGGCCCCAGCAAGGCCCCCTGGGGCTGCCACAGGCCATGGCCGTGACCTGCTGGCCCTGCGGGGTCAGCACAGGTAGGGAGCAAAGGCCCCAGAGGTGAAGCCCACGTGCGGGGCGCACTCACGGTGAGCAAGAGGCACTTGTTCTCCTTGATGGCCCCGATGCAGCCCACGAAGCCAATGGCCATGACGAAGGTGCCGGTAACGATAAGCAGGTTGGCGGCCGACAGGGACGGGAAGGAGGACGACAGGGTGGCGAAGTTCCCCTGGGTGGCAGCCAGCCAGATGCCAACACCCAGGATGCCACAGCCTCCCAGCTGGGACCGCCGGGGTAGGGAGAGAGGGCAGTGAGGCCACCATCCACACATTCCAGACCACCCCAGAACAGACCCCTGTGGCCACCCAGAGTGGCATCCCATGGGCCCCGTGCACCCTCGCCCACCCTGCCAACCTCCACGGCCAGTCACCCCTACTAGTCTTGTCCCAGCACCCAGCCGATTCCCCCACAGCCACAGTAATGGGGACCCCAAGGTCCACACCTATGGCCGTGGGGAGGATGTGGTCTGAGGACATTCTCCACTCAGGTCACGAATGGGGTGCCTGCCCCTGTCCCAATGACATGGTGAGGCAGCCAGGGCAGGGGGCCCAGGGCCCCCCCAAACACCACCCCTTCAGGAAGCATCCCCTTCTCCCCCAGAGCCTGGCCTGCACCTACCCCACAGCCTCTCTGGACCTGAGAGTCAGGGAGACGACTCCTGGAGACCCTGCTGGACCACACGCTCCCCTCTTACTAAAAAAAACCACCTTCCAGTGGGTGGCCACAATCCCCATGGGCCCCCCTGGTGTCCCCAGCTGTCCCCTTCTAAGCACAAGCCCCAGGGTACCCACCAGGCCCCAGCGTGGACGCCAGCACAGGACAGCGCAGAGAACCTCATCCCTGGCCCTTGCTGCCCCTCCCTCTCAACCACTGGAACTTTTACTGAATTTCATAGTTGTTCCTTACTACAAACACAATTAAAATGAGAGTTAGAAGGGCGAGAAGCCAAAGTGGTAAAGAACCCAGTGCGGGCCCACGGCCTTGCCTGGTGAAGGGGACACCCAGCCTTGGGGGAGCAGGGATGGGCCAGGGCTCTGGGTGGTCTCAGGAATAAACAGGTGCAGGCTGGGGGCAGCAAGCCCCACAAAAGCTGACCTGGTCCCCCAAAACCTGGGCTTCGGTGAGACCACTTGGTGACCAACACCTGCTGGGCCCTGGGGAAAGCCAGGCGGCTTTGGGGACCCCTCCCCACTCCTCACCATCTGGCCTGGCCCCCATGGCCTCAGCCCCCAGGGCTCTCCTGGGCACAACACCCAGCCCTTGGAGTGATCACCCTGCATGCCCAGGACAGGCTAGGTCACAGACTCCAGGGTAAACAGCATCCAGCCCTGCATCACCCCACAAAAGCTTCCTGAGCCTAGATGGCCAGACTCCCACCCCATTTCCCAGACCAGTAAACTGAGGCTGGGAAATGAGCCTCCCACCCAGTCAGTTGAGCCAAGGGGAGCCAGGGCCATCCACACACAATGCCTCCCCAACAACTGGCCTGGTTCCCCAAGCCTGGCAGGGACCCCATGACTCAGCAGGCCCCACAGGCTCTAAGACCCCTGCCCAAGGAGGCCTCACCGGCCAGTCAACCTGGCCCTGGGATGGGGGTGGGGCCACCACTCGTTTCTCCATAACCCGTTGGGGAGTGTGCACACCATGCATTAAACCAGGCTGGCAGGAGACTGCAATTATGGGGGTGGGGGGACACAGCTCCCAACCCAAGAGCATTAGGGGCTACGGCTCCCGGGGTGTGGGCAGACACCAGGGGCTCTGGCCCAGGCCTACCAGCGTCTGGGATCCCTCTGGGCCTTGCCAAGGGCAGGAGAGTCCCCAGCTGAAATGCCCACCACCATCCAGTGGGGGTCCAGTCAGCCCAGGGTGAACATGTGGGTCGTCTCTGGCCCCCCTGCCCCTCTTTGCACCTTCCACAGAAACAAGAACTGCGGTCTAAAAGTTATAAACAACACCTCTTTTGAATGCTGCTGGCTCAGGGCAGGGTCCAGGAAGCTGGGGTCATCCTGCTTGCTTGAGCCCCTCCCCAGAGTAGGGTGGGGGTCTGCAGCTCAGGCAAGGGACAGGGAGGGGGCAGGGCACCAGGTTAGGGGGACCCTGCTGCAGGGTACTGACCACATGGCCCTGAAAGTTCCCAGAGGGCCCACCATGGACGGTGACAAAAGCCTCTGCCTGTGGCCTCCTTTGAGGCCATCTCCATGCAATGACCAAACCCAGGGCCATGATCAGGGGCCAGGGGGCCAGGGGAGGCTGCCCAGATGAGGCTCAGAGGTGGGAGGCCAGTGGGGGCACCCACCCGGAGGAGTGGCCTGAATTGCCTCTGGGCCCTGGGTGTGCACCCAGTGTGAGGAGCCAGCTGCCCAGCGCGGGTGGGGGAGGGGGAGACGACACAGACAGGTGACGTCTTCACTGCAGAGCTGGGCTTGGGCACAGCCCCAGGGCAGTTATGAAGATGTGTGTGCACCCCCACCTGTGGGATGGAGGCAGGCCCCCCACCAATGGCGCTGGCACTGTCCGAGGTGCTGACCCCAGGCGGGGTGGCCAGGGGGACATCCAGCGCCTCTGGGCACCCCACGCCCGCCTGTGGGAGGCACCACTCAACAACATGGGGCAACAGAAGAGGCTGGGACAGGCTCTGGCTCATTCGATCTTCCCACCCAACCTGCAGATAAGAAACAGGGAGCCGGGGGGGTTTCTGGAGCTATGCCCCACCCCGTGCCTGTAGGGACACCGTGTCCCCACAGTGTGCCCACTGCCTCTGGGATCTCCAAAGCCCCAGGGGAAGCTTGAAGCTGGGGCCGCACAGTGGGGTGCTGTGCACAGAAGGGACACCGTGGCCGAGGACCCGGGTCAGGGAGGGCGTGAGGGTGGGCCACCTCCCTGTGGGGAGGGACACTGACCGGCTGCCATGCCCAGGCCTCACGCCAGCCTGTCCCCCACTGAACCACGCAGCCCCCACTCTGAGCCAGTCATGTCTCCGAGCTGAGCCCCCAGGATGGGGCCTCGGTGGGTGGGGCCGTCTCCTGCGGCAGGTCCCTGAGCAAAGGAGACAATGACTCGTTCTTTACAACCTGACTGCCTGCCTCAAGGACGTCGGCAGATGGCTCCTGTCAGCAGGAAAATGAGCCCGTCTGAGCTCCCTTGTCCCATGGGGACACATGGAAGGGCATGGGGAGGACACGGGGAGCAAAGCGGCTGTGGGGGGTGGGGACCAGTCCAGGTTCCAGGGGACCGGGGACGGGGCTCCTCACCCCCAGCACTGGTGGAAACGGATTTCCTTAATTAACTCTGTTCACGACGTCCCACCTCCACCTGGAGACGTCAGGAGAGACCCACGCTGGGACACACACACGGCCCGCTGCCATGGGCAGCCCTCGCCGGCACCGTGTCGCACGGGCTCATGTCACAGACATGCTGCCCTATGGCCTGTCCTGCCCACAAGCCCCAAGGCCCTCCGTGTTCAAGCTTGTTTGCACAGACCAGTCACCAAAAACTCAGACACACACACTAACAGAATGCATGCACACAGTTAATAAAATTACCTGTAATTTTGAAAATGTTTCTGCGTACGCAGCTTTTAAAACATTTTGGCAGGAAAATTACAGCCTCCAAGTGCAGGAAAAAAACAAGGCCCGTTAGACTCAGACACAGAACATCAAACACAGCGTAAGTGGGGCTGAGGTTCCTGGGAGGCCAGGACCCCACCCCAACCCCACGGCTGCCCAGCCCCACTCTCTCACTGCCTGGGGCACTGGCTGGACTCTCCTCCCAGCCACACAAAAGCCCAGCTGGGTCCCAGGAGCAGACCCGCTGACCGCCTGAGAGAAGGTCCCAGCCCTCCCGTTGGGGACTCCCATCCCTGCCCTGCCATCATCTGTGGCCTCCCTGACCCCCTCCCGTGCATCTCGAGCATACGCCTTATCTTCTGTCCTCACCTGTCACCAGCCCCAGCCCAGTGCCTGGCTTGTGCCCGCCCCCATTCCTGCTGTCCTTTTTTCTTGTCTGTGCATTTTTTGATTTGGCCTAGGGCTGAGGGTATAGGGACCACATGGTCTGAGATGCCACCCCCGCCCCCAGGCCCATGAAGGGGCAGGTATCAGGTGGCCCTCTGCCACTGCCCCTCCGGCCAGCAGATGGCGGGACAGCTGGCCACGTCCTTGGAACACAGTGGAGGGCTGGGTGCCTGCAGGGGCCAAGCCTGTGCCCAGAAGCCCCTCGCCTGGCAGCCAGCACAGCCTTGGGGTGGGGGCTGGGCATGGCGAGGTGTTTCACCCCTCCCAGCCGAGAACAGCCACGAGGGGACCCCATCTGTACACGTTCAGGGAGGGCAAAATGTGTCCGCTGTGCCAGAAACCAGGTCTGCCCCAAGGCAGGAGTCAGAGAGACTGAGCGAAGGGGCTTCAGGGACCTTCTGGGCTGACAGAAACGTTCCCTACCTTGACCGGATATGGTCACCTGGCCGTTCGCTGAAAATCTATGCAACTGCCTGCCGTTCATGTTCTTAAACGCCAGCAAGCCCCCACACCATCATCAGCCCCGTTCACTGACCCCCAAGGCTCGGACACAAGGAGACCAGCCCCAGCCCGTCAGGGAGACAGCCCCACTGACAGGACCCCCTGAAGCCAGTGTCCACGGAGAAGGGGTTGGGCAGGGAACAGAACAGCCCTGGCCGGCAGCTTCAGGAAGGTCCAAGTCCACCCTCAGGGGCGAGGAGGAGCTCACTGGACCACAAAGGGGCATCCAGGGGACAGATAAGAACCCTAGCAACAGGGGCACCTGCTGGCTCGGCCAGTGGGCCATGAGACTGCTGGGGAGTCTCACCGGGGCCCCCTGACGGACCGCCGCCACCCCCAACCTATCGGGGAGCCGCCCGCTCGGCCACACACACACCTGGTTCCAGCATCAGCGCTCTGCCTGCCATCCCCGCCGTGGATGGCGTGGGGGTCGCCGAGCCGGACCCAGGACCGGTACTGCCACCACAGAGCTGATCAACATCCCCAGGCCCCGAATCCCCGTCTGTTCCATCAGCCAGCTGCTGGCCCCAAGGAGGAGAGTGTCCTGACCCTTGACCAGGACAGCCAAGCACCCCCACCCCCAGCTCCCTGGTGCCCTCCAGACCCAATCCCATCACAGAATCTGCCTGCCCTCCCTCCACCCATCGCAAGGCGGCCCGCCCACCCCTACTTGCAGGCAGCAGGCCACCCCTGCTTTACCCTGCCGCAGAAAGAAACAAGCCTGGACACGGGGACGCGCCCAGCACCATCAGGAGGCCGCGGCCGAGAGCCACAGGGTCCGGGATGCTCACTGGCCCTGCCTTGTGGCCTCCCAGCTGCAGGGAGGACTGAGGGGGGAGGTCATGGCCCCCAGCTCTACGGGGCCCTTTGCCACCATGTGTCCCCTCCTCCACCAGTCTCAGGGGCCTTGCCCAAGGGCTAGTGACAGCCACCCACTCAGGCCACTCACTCGGACATCATCTGCAGTTCATCAAAGGGGAAAATCCAGGCCCCCCTGAGGTACAGCTGGGGCAAGGGAGACGCCAGGAGACCCCAAGGGGGCAGGATTTACCCAAAGTCCTATGGAGGCCTGGGCAGCAGGAAAAGGCAGGCAGGGCTCCAACCCCCACCCCAGCCATGCAGAGGGACCCTGACCACAAGTGCAGGGAGAGGCAGCGCCGCGCGCAGCCCAGGGGCAGGAAGGGGGGTGGGGAGGGACACCTGCCAGGGGAGCAGCAGGAGGGGGGC